GTGTCTCGTTAACTCACTTCCTCTAAACAAAAACAAATTATGGTTCTTATTCTTTTATTGCTAGAGTAACAAGATCTGCTAATAGACTAAATGTAGAATGATCAGAATTCTCTAACCATTTATGTATGTGAGGAATAGATGTTAGATTTTTAATTAATTGTTTTTTAATATGTACATGTTTAAATTAATTTATTTATTATTTAGGATTTTATTAAGATTTAATGAATGTGATATGTATTCTCTGTAATTGTATTGTTTTAATGGGCTCTGGCCTGTAAATAAATAAATGCTGAGAAATATTCCGTAATGTCTTTTACAAAAAGAGCAGCACCTATAATTTTGTATTAAAAACTACAGAACGTTGTTCTAAATAATATAAATCAACCCGAATTCGTAAAAGATCCCAGAGTTTAGTTTGATGCTGAACTAACTTTTGTTACACACTGCTGCTAAAGGAGAATATAGTTTCTTATTCGAAGCTGTAGAAAATTCTGTATATTAGCTTTGTTAGATCGAAATACCTAATATTCTGTAGTTTGGGACCCCTTGTATAACATTTTTATATTAACTTAATTGAAAAAGTGCAAAGGATTTTTTTCTAAATTATGGATGGTATACAAGGGGATATATATCCCCATGATGTATTAAAATCAATATTCAATCTTTCTGAGCTTGTGAAATGTAGTGTACCAACCAATTAATTCACAGATACCTACCATGAAATTGAATACAGCTTGGATATATTTGAATGTAACAAGTATATGGTTAAAACTGTTTTTTGAACAATGCATTAAATATGCTATCCTTATTAACTTTTAATTAACCTACTAATGTAAAGCGTGCATTGCAATGTAGACAACCTTTTATCCTGTATTCAGTCAGTTTTTTTTTGTATGTGCTTCTACATTGTATAGCCACTCGGCTTTTTCTTTTTTCATATTTATATCAATTTTATGTAGTAAATGCAATGAAATTTCCAATGCACGTCATAAATTCATGAAAGTAGACGTTGCCACGTTGCTAAAAAATTCAAGAAAAATTTTATAAAAAAACTAATGTTTAATTTGAATTGCTGAAAAGAAAAATTGTTTCAGCTTTACTTGATGAAAATCCATATTATTAAAATGAGTACATTTGAAGAAGAAGTTGTACTTCGAAATAATTGTCTCTAATTTTTATTTTTTTTAATAAAAGTGAGAATCTACCATGTTTAGTTTTTCTCATTTTAAGTTTAATTTGAACTCCATCTTTTGACACTTTAACTAATTAATTCATTAAACCTATATATAAAATTAGCTGACCCGATCCCGCTTCACTGGAATTTCTCAAATCTCTATTATTAAAAGTGAATAACAGTTCGTTACTTGAGAGAAATTTTTTCATGTGACACCTGGCAATTTTTTTTTATTTATTTTTAACAATTTTTATTAATTTATTAATTTTTATTGATTTTTATTAATTTTTATTCATTTATTAATTTTTAATAGTTTTTGTTGATTTTTAATAATTTATTAATTTTTGATAATTTTTAATAATTTTTATTAATCTTTATTAATTTTTATTTATTTTTGTTTATTTTTAATAATTTTTAATAATTATTTATTATTTAGTTTTACGATACTCCCCATTTCCCCCCTCCTTAAAATGTGAAAATTCAAAAACTTAAAATACGTCATTATTTATTAATAATGAGTAGCTACAATTTCAATTTTCAAGTTCCTACATTTAAAAAACCGAAAGTCTTATACAAAATTTTACCTCCCTTTCCTCCCTTAATGTCTATTTATTTATGATAAGTAGCTACAATTCTAATTTTCAGTTTTCTACCTTTAAAAAAAGCGATACCCCCATACAAACTTTTCCCCTGCCCCCTCCTTCTCCCATTTCTCCCCTTTCTTTCCCTTAAATTATGAAAATTCAAAGTCCCTGAAACTACATTATTTATTTGTGATAAGTAGCTATAATTCCAATTTTCAAGTTCCTACCTTTAATAAAATCGATACTTCCATATAAACGTTTAACCCCCTTTCCCCCCTAAAATGTGAAAATGATTTATCTGTTCAATTTTCATCATTGATGACGTGCAACGGAAATTTCATTGCAATGGGTATATTTGTATGTATTATTATTGCTAATGTGTTTTCCCGCCCAGTATATTGTGCACTGTTTTGTGGTGTGATAAAGATAAATAATTGTTGAAATTCTGTAGGCCATAGTAGTCTTCAGCACGTTGATGTCATAAAATTAACATTAATAACTTCAGTAGTAACCCTAAAACAATGTCACTGACCTATTTCACAGAAATAATACTACTTAAGTTGTAATAAAAGTCACTAAAAACGGTAATTTTCATTAAATAAATGTCTTGCTTTATCAGATCAGGTTGTGATACAGGTATTTTTGAAGACTCGTTATATTGTTTAACGAGCTGGGAGTGATATACTCATTTCAGTTTTAAACACTATTTTTTTTTCTGCGACTGTAACAGGCTGTTACTAATTTTTAGACAGTTATCTTCTACAGGGTGCTTCTATTTTGGCGCAATAGGTGTCAAATGAAAGCTGACAGCCGCCTGTTTAGGGGTGCCTTTGTTTGCACTTATTGTAAACTGGAACACCGAAGTTTACTGTTATTTTGTTGTATGCGTTATACCAGAGCAAACCATGGTTGGTCTAGTATTTGGCAATTAAAAATCTATCATCTACCCCTTCGACTTTTTGCAGCCGATTATTAAATTTTACTCGCAGCTAGTCTGGATTATAGTATCATGAGAACTTAAATCAGCGATCTATGAGTGTTATTTGACTCAAAATTGTTTTGTTTTCCACTTTATTGTTACCAGTAGAGCTTAGTAATTACACTCGGCTACAAAAAAAATTTTTCGTACTCTGGCACCATTCCTGCTGATTCCTATGTAAAATCTTGCGAACTGTTTATATAATTGTTGTTAATTATTTTTAATATTTGGGGGTTTTTGGGAGCGTAGAAGGAGGGCTAGAGGCTGGAATATATAGAAAATAAGTGAAAAAATATTGAAAAAACTTCGGTCAGTCTTAAGCTTAATTTATAACCGCCGTAACGTAACTTAAGAACTTAACGTACCGTAGAAAGTTCGCCTACTTTTAACTTAACAACTTAAGACATTACGGTCAGCCAATGAGATAATTCTGAGTTCAGCATATGATAACTGACAATTCTTCTTTTTATTTTTTTTTATAAATAAATGGACAAATTATCATTCTCCTTTTTTATGGACATACTCTATCATGAATGTTTTGTGTTTATGTTATTGAGGATAAAATACTTATGATCTAAAACAAGACACAAAATTAGTTTGCTAGGAAAGATTAACTTCTTATTATTGCTCAAAAACAACATTTTCGGTAAACTATTCTGTTTTATTATATTTTTATATTATTGCTTTTAAAGTAGTTAATATATTCTTTCTATTCCTATAGCAAAATCATAATTTATGAGTTTTATTTGGAGGTTAGGTAAATAGTTTACACTTGTTTATTTCATAAGGTTGTCAGTAATTTGATAATCTCTGAAATACAAAACGCATGCTCAACTCTTACGTTACGGACATTTATAGACTTTTATTTTTATATCTTACGTTAAGTTTCTACGGCGTTAAGTTACGTTACGATGGTTATAAATTATACTTTTAGTGACTTCTTTTAATGTGAGTGGTCAACTCCCACCCTAAAATCTCCCTCTTTGTTACAAATGTTCATGTTTCAGAACATTTTACCTCTCTAACCCCTCAGAAAAATGTAAAGGCTAAAATACTATTTTTCATCCTTCAAATTATCAAAAAGTGATAAAAATAAATGGTGGGGTTCGTCCGAAAACGGTGGATGATGGGGGAAAACAGGAATGGTGTCAGGGTTATTATTGTAATTTCAATGAGAACTATCCACCCTAAATAATTTTATAAGTGAGGCTTTTATGAAAAAAATACAAAAATATGTCAAAAATTAAATAAACAGGAACTTCTTTTTGGTCATGTATACTCGCTGTAACTTTAACCCTGTCCTCCCCATGACCACCCCCATTTTTTTTTCAATGGAACACCCTATGCATTATTGCATTTTTCTGTGTATATCTGAGATATAAAAAGAATCGTTTGGAAGTTACAGATAATTTCACTGTAATAACAGAAACTGTTTCTCACCAAATTAATGAAATTGTTATCATATCATTAAAAAATTATTAAGTATTTTCGCACATTACGTAACATTTCTGGATTGTAATTAATTAAATCATTTCTGTTATTAAATTTAAATGTTATATAACTTCTAAACGATTCATTTTACACCTAAGGTAAACATTTTTGGAATAAAATATCAGAGGAGAATCGAAAAATGCCATAATATACAGGGTGTTCCATTGAAAAAACCATGGGGAGGAGAGGGTGACAGTGAAACAAGTATACATGACATCCCCTTTATATGATTTTTGGCTTATTTTTCCATAGAAGCCTTTTCTTTAAAATAATTTATAGTGTGTATAGTTTTCATTTTAATTCCTTGTATTTTATATTTATGCAAAAAAGACTCACTTCAAATTATTTTAATTAAATAATCTAGTGTCAATCTAAAAATCCTTAAAAGTTTATTTTAAGTAAATGCAAGTAATCTCGTTTAATGTCTTTAAACCAATTTTTATAATTTACATGAACAACTAGCTAGGTATGATTGATAATTAGTTGCAATTAATTATTACCACTTCGTTTAAAAGCGTTAGACAGTCATCGAACTTGTAGTTGTAACCCCCCAACAAATTACTGTTTATTAATATCTACTAAAGAGGGGAATTCTAAACATCAATTTCATTTCTGTTATCTTTGAAAGTAGTCTCGCTTTGTGCTTTTTATCAGTTAGTTTCGCCATACTAGTACGTACTGTTCGATCTATAGTTTAATTTTCATTGAGTTTTTATTATTTGTTTATTATTTTCTTAATTTTATTTTGCATGTGTTTTATTTTTAATTTCAGTTGTGTTTTGTGAAGTAGTTGTGCATGGTACTTGGTACTTGATGACAGATGGGCATTCCGACGAATAATTCTGGAACTATGACCAACAATTCTCAGGTAAACTGTTTCTTTATTAAACTCTGGCTTAATTTCGGATACATAGATAAGATTATAAGTAAAAGGTGGATTTTTTAACGGTTTGGTGAGTGATTTATGAACTTTCTAGAGGCGGTGTAATTAAAGGAAAGTCGTTACTCGAGTTTTAATTAGATTGTGCAAAGGATTCTTAGCAAATATTTTACTAGATAAGTTTATTGGTATATTATACAATGAAACCGGCTAAAGTTTGTTTAAAAATAGCCTTTATTAAATTATTCTATAGATAATCCATTTCTTAGAGAGTATTTTGGAATGCGATTAATCTTTATTTTTGCTCTTAATAGTCCATAATTAATAACTTCAGCAATAATCACAAAACAATACAATGCCACTAACGCATTTGACCTCACTGGAAATTAAGTTATCATAAATCACTAAAAAATACAATTTTCATTCAATTTATTTATTGTTTTGTTAGATGACGTGAACTGTATGATATAAATATGTAAAAATTGATATACATTTCTTGAATCTGGTTACAAATAAATTTTTAAACAATTATTATTCAATTCAAATTAACTTGTATCTCTCGCATCACTGATAATTGAAAATAAATATTTAATTTTCCTGATAATGTCAAGTAGGTAATATACACTTGATATTTCAGTAATTAATTCAAGTGTTAGAAATTAAAAATTTAAAAAACCGACTTCAAAATCGTGCAGATGCCATCACCACATCTTGACCAAATTAATATGGGACCACCCCTGAGGTACTCCCTTACTAACAAAAAAGAATCATATAAATCAGACAAGGTGGTAAAGCATTATCGCTAAACATACATAAAAAATTAAGAGTTTGAAGATTTTCTCATGGACCCAATTATTAGATTTTTTCCAAATTTATGAACCCCTGAAGTACCCCCTTTCTAACAAAAAAAGAATCATTGAAATCGGACACCGTGTTCAAAGAATTGTCGCTGAACATACATAAAAAAATATTGCGACGAATTGAGAACCTCCGCCTTTTTTGAAGTCGGTTAAAAATACAATTTAAACCCCTATTAAAAAATGGAAAATATTATTCGAAAGTCTACATTTAAAAATAATAAATTAAATAAAAAATGTATTTGAAAAATATCTAATTTTTAAAAGTTATTTAAAGGTATCTATAGTAGTGAACATGAATAATTATGACTCCAAGAAGAGTGAATGTACCTATAATAGTTGTACATTATTTCAAAGGTTTTAAAAGTAAAACTAAAGGTTATTAATTTCATTAAAAAAATGTTTGAATGACCTATTTTATATTAGATATCCATATTTTTCAAATATATATTTTCTAATACAATTGATGATTATTTTTGAAGTCAGTTTAACAGTATAGAACAACGATGAACCTTGTAGGCATTATTAGTTAAAAATTTTGTTAGGAATATGATCATTAAGAAACAAAAACACATGTAGATACTTAATACAGAAGTTTATTACAAATATAAACATATTTATGACAGTCTGTTGACCTCCATAAGTTCAACTAGCATTTTACGCAAGAAGTGTAACCAAGGAATATGTACGAGGGGATTATCAAATTATTATATTTTTTCATATAAATAAGTCGGTCTTTAAGTAATTGAAGTAAATTTTTGACTTCTAAATATTATGTTGTGACGCAACTTGCCTTAGTAAAATATTGATATTAAGATATATACAGGGTGTTAAAGATGACAGTTATTTTTCGTTTCAACTTTGGAGATTCATAATATAAATTTTGAATTTGATGGTTTTTGGATATGAATAATTATAATTTCTTAGTTACATTTTATAAGGGGCACCACATAAGCCACATTTGTGGCATACATATTCGTTAAACTTTTTGTTATTTAAGTTAGCTCAATTTTAATTAAAAAATTATTAAAGATACGTCAATTTAACAAGAAAAGTTATAATTATTGTTAACCTCAAAAGTAAACACTTTTAGATATAATTGCATATTAGAAATCAGCGCCATATTTCTCATTTAATTTAATAATGTTTTTACAGCAGTGCGATGATATACACGCAGCCAAACTTATATGGAATCATCTATTATTTTTCATAATTTTTGAGATGTATGAATTTTTGTTTATGAATAAGACTCAGTTCTTACCAAAGACTTTTACTGACAAATAACCCACATGGCAATAAAAATAATCAATTAGTTGACAAAATAAACAATGGTATTTTTTGGTTTCTGAAACGAAATAAGATTTAAATTTTTAATAGCCGGAAAGCAAAATAAAAAAGAAAATTGGTAATTTTAACAATCTGTGTTACCATCTCTAGCTCTTATGCAAGCTTCTATTCGCCTTGGCATGTTTCTTATTAAATTGTCAACATTGTCTTGGGGTACGTTTTCCCTTTCTGCTAATGTTGCATCAATAAGCTATGCGACATTTCTTGCATTGTTTCGACGAGCTCTAACCCTTCTTTTGAGCTGGTCTCACAAGTGTTCGATAGGATTTAGGTCTGGTTAACATGCAGGCCACCTTTCGTTTCAAGACATTCTCTAGCCACTCTGCTGATATGGGGAGGTGCATTATCGTGCATAAAGATAAAATTATCCACAATTGCAGCTATCCAAAGCCTAACGATTGAAGTTTGTTGAAGTGGTAGGAATTTTTGCTCCTAGCTTAATAACTCCCCAGAACATTACAGTTCCTCCTTGATATCTTGGGACAGATCTGACAGCGTGGAGTCTCGCTTATCTTCCTGAAGCTCTAAGAACCCGAATTCGATAGTCATCTGATCTTAGGCCAATTCTGGTCTCATCCGAAAAAAGAACATTTTGCCAATTCTCAATTGTCCAGTTTTGGCGTTGAAGACATCAATTTAACCGGTCAATTTTATTTTGCCTCGATACCGGTGGGACCCGTAACTCTCTCCTACTTTACAGCCCTCGAGCGCGAAGTCTTTTTTTAGGGTTTCAACTGAAACGTCCACACTTGTACCTTCCAGAAGTTGTCGTTGCAGCTCTGGATGAGAAACACTGGAATTTCTTCTAGCAATTTGGGCCTGTTCTTGAGAGTTTCTAGTTCCAAATACCTTTCATATGTTTTCAATACAACACCCTGGGTATCGCCTACTACCTCTGCTATGTCTCATTGGGACGTTCCTTGTTCAATGAGAGAAATAAGTCTTCCCCTCTACACATCTATTAGTCCAACAAAAGGAGGCATTTTGTTATTTTTTTAGACAGAAATAAAATTACCGGAGGATCGTGATTGTACTTCTGAACACAAAATCCACAAGATAATAAATCGCAGCAGTCGTTTCTTCTTTATTATCATGTTTGTTTTGAACAGAAAGTCTTATTTTAAAGTTGGATGCCAAATTTTTTCCATACAAAAAGTTTATTCGGAAATACACAGTGATGCCATATAAGTTTGGTTGTGTGTATGATAAATTAGTAAGTGTTCGATAGTCCACCATTCTCTTCAATGCATTTTTCTATACGTTTCATAAAAGATCGTCTCATAACACAATTAATTAATGAATTTCTTTGCAATGTTGGGGGCGGGTTGAGGATCATCTGCGGGAACCATTATTCATCGCGGTTAGGATGAAATGACCACTTTCACCCATATTTCAATATAGATTTTAAATTGTTTGGTGATTAGGTTGCAGCCTGATTGGAAATCTTTTCAAATATTCCCTTTTAGCAGCACGCTCATTGAAATATTGACAGTAAATAGTAATATCTCTCATTTCCATATTCATCAAATTATTATGTCTCGTCATCTTCTGCGTTTCGTTAATACGCCATATTAGTGTGACGTAACTGATAGTTATCCAAAAACATAATTAAATTTGCCATTATATACGTTTTTACTGGTTTTAGTTTTTTTCTGAATATTTTTTGCAGGTCATAAAAATAGTTTAAAGGTATTTAATTGGTTGCTAAACGATTGTACTGGACAATTTGAAAACGAACAGCATTTAATATTTCTTTAACTGATAATACTATGAAAATTTGGCGACACACGTCATTTTACATATCAAGGAAGACAACTGTTAAAGTATTTGTTGCTGTAATGCTGTATTACATTCAACCTCCCCACCCCTAAGCACCTACCGCTAAAATCTTAAATATAAATCTCCACTTATTTCGCCATTGTCTGACTAATTATGAAAGTTACTGGTACACAAGTTCCGATTCTGGTATCTTTCTTGATGGCAATTGGGTGATCATAAGACGGACTGGAATCTCTTTAGCAGTCGTGACCAACCCCTTTCCGATCAGAAATCCTCATCCAACCACTTCATGGAGGTTACAAGGTTCCATCATGACAGGTGTTCCTTCTTCCATAGTTTCTTGAAGCTGTGCTACACTTCTGCCAGATACCACCGTATCTTTCTATGCAGCAACTGGTACGGTACTGTTTCCATATTGATGTAGGAATACCTCTTCGGCACCAACTTTAATTATTCTGTTTTTAAAATCCAACTGGAAACCATGTAAGTTCATAACATCCATTCCAAGTATAACATCTTCTTTGATATCAGCGACAACAACAGTGTGAGTGAACTTTTATGTACCAATTCCTAATTGAACCTGGATTTGCCCATGGATGTGACAGTCCGCAGTCGCAATCTTGTTGGAAGAAGTCTCTTGCGGTTATTTATGGTTTTTGGTCGTATAATGGTCCTAGTTACTCCAGTATCCACCAAGAATGTATACTTTTAACCATTACCTCGCGACATTTTAAAGAGGCTATCAGTATGAGAGGATCTTTAGAACGGTTTCGAGTCGAAGGTGTCTCCTCTAGGCCGACCCGCTCTTGTTTTCCTGCGGCGTGTTTTCATTTGTTGGGACTTTAGGGCGTTTGCACGAACTGCGTACATGTCCCAGTTCACCGCAATTCCAGCACCTGATAGTCTTTATCTTTTTGTAAGCAAAGCTCTTCATTATGTTAACTAGTTGGTCGAGTTTATCTTCCTCGTTTTCTTTTACAGTTCTCACTTCTCTCTGTATCTTCC